CCCTCCCCAGGCTCCGCCCCCAGATCCCCAGCAATTTCCCAACCCAGAGCTAGCAACCCTATCACAACATGTAAAGAGAGAAAAACGCACAGTGCGCAACTCCGACCATAAAAGCTGGACAAAAGGAATAGCAGACCACACAGGAAGCCTGTCCTGGGACTGCCGCACTTCAGAGGCCATATGACTGAGGGTCCTCCCTGCGGGAAAAGTCCTGGCATGTAGAAAGCAAGCAGATCAGGAAGCAGACTCTAACCTAGCCAGCTCCCTGACCTGCTAAGTTTCTACGCTAAGGGAGTGGGGAGGCAACGAATTTGCCGACAGTCTGAAGAAGGAACAGTCCGGGAATGTTTTTACCATGTAATCTGCTGTTTGTGTAGGCAAGCCCATAGAAAAGGGAACTGTATGAAATTTCTGGGGTTCTTAACACTTGCCCTCCCAGCCCATACGCCTTTTAAACTCCTGGTTCATTAATTCTAGGAGGTGGCTTTCATATACGTCCAGGGGTCATTTAGTAGAAAAAGAGGTGCAGGAGCTCATTAGCATAACTTATTTGCATATGCCACACCCCCTGACACCACCGGAAGTGTGTCAGAAGGCAACACCCACCGCTCAGGCTCCACTGGACTGTTTTGGATTGCTAGCTATTGGGGGGGGGGTGCAGATCTGTTCTTGCAGAGGAGGGAGAGCTTGTACCTAAATAAAACTTGGTCTTAAAGGTGCCACTGGACTGTTTTGGACTGAGGGGGGAGCTCTGCAACTTACCTGGCTGCTTCTTGCTCTGACTGAGGGCTGCTGGGAGCAGGGGGTGGGGCTTGTTGCATGTGCCCGCCCCCTGGGCAGTTTACTGCCGGAGCTCCGCTCCTGTGCGCTCCTGCAGGAAATGACCCCTGTATACGTCAACCAAAATGTTTATGGGAGGTCACTTTTGCAGGGGCAAGGTTCTCAGGCCTGCCATCTGGACTATTTTTATTTATTTATTTATTTATTGTTTATATTTATATCCCGCCTTTCCAGGAATCTGGCTCCAGGCAGCTAACAACATTAAAGTGGCATAAACAACCAAGTTAAAACAATTCATAAATACCATACCAATTAAAACAACAGCAGTTGCAATTAACCCAACGGAAATGGCGGTGATCCAAATCCCATCCAACAATAGGGGTAACGTCCAGCGGAATCTTGGGTGTTCTAAAATTTCAGGCCAGACGATGTTCCAGGGCACTCATCAGTGGCAGCCCCTAATCGAAAACCTGATGGAAGAGCTCCGTCTTACAGGCCCTGTGGAACTGTAAAAGGTCCCGCAGGGCCCTGATGTCCTCCGGGATCTCATTCCACTAGGTTGGGGCCACCACTGAGAAAGCCCTGGCTCTGGTGACATTCAGCCGGGCTTCTTTCGGACCAGGGAGGGTCAGGCGATGTTGCGACCCTGACCGCAGTGCTCTCTGGGGCACATATGGGGAGAGGCGGTCTCTCAGGTAGGCAGGCCCCTGACCATGTAGGGCTTTAAAGGTTGGCACCAGCACCTTGAAACGAATCCGGTACGCTATAGGCAGCCAGTGCAGTGTCCTCAGCACAGGCTGGATGTGGTCCCGTATAGAGAGACCCAACAACAGCTTGGCCACGGCATTCTGCACTAGCTGCAGCCTCCGGATCTGGGACAAGGGCAGCCCCATGTAGAGAGCATTGCAGTAGTCTAATCTCGAGGTGACTAGACTACACTGGGCTAAATGGACCAACAGTCTGATTCTGGATCAGGCGATGTTATACGCGCACAGGCTTGCGTGTGGAGAACGGGCCTCTCTGCTAAGTCACAGACAGAGAAGCACCAGCAGAAGAACCAGTTTGGTGTAGTGGTTAAGTGCGCAGACTCTAATCTGGGAGAACCAGGTTTGATTCCCCACTCCTCCACTTGCAGATGCTGGATGACCTTGGGCAAGCCATAGTTCTGTCAGAGCTGTCCTTGAAAGAGCAGTTTCTCTCACAGCTCTCTCAGCCCCACCTACCTCACAGGGTTGTGGGGAGGGGAAGGGAAAGGAGTTTGTAAGCCGCTCTGAGACTCTGAGTGAAGGGCGGGGTATAAATCCAATCTCTTCTCTTCTTCTTCTAGAATAATGGCACAGTAGGGTTTAATCTCTCTCCCCCCCCCCCACTAAAGGTAAAGGTAAAGGTTCCCTTGCTCGAAAGTCAGTCGAATCCGACTCTAGGGTTGCGGTGCTCATCTCCGTTTCAAAGCCGAAGAGCCAGCGCTGTCCGAAGACGTTTCCGTGGTCATGTGGCCGGCATGACTAAACACCAAGGTGCACAGAACGCTGTTACCTTCCCACCGAAGTGGTACCTATTTATCTACTTGCAATTTCTTGCTTTCGAACTGCTAGGTTGGCAGGAGCTGGAACTAGAGACGGGAGCTCACCCCGTCTTGCGGCACCCCATCTAAATCGGTCTCTTGTGCCATGAGGCACCCCACCCCAGATTTCCTTTATTTTCGGGGGTGTGTGTGTGTGTTGGTAATCAGTTCATGTCTGCAAAAAGATCCAACAAGAAAGCAATGTGACCACAGTCCAGCCTCGGCATGGCTACTCCCTTGGAAAGAGACCTGATCCTTCCAGAGCGCTTGCCACTAATGAATTCTGCGTCTCTGAAAGGGGCCCAGGTCACTAATTGGCATTTGGCCTAATTGGGGGTGGCTGTTGGCTTGGGTCTCACTAAAGGCCCTTTGTCATTTGCAAACCCTGTTCTCTGTAGCCGGGGGAGGGGGGGCAGGGTGCTTTCAGGTCCCAACCACCGGGGACCCAATTGACTGGTGGATTTCGAACGCTGGAGTTTCAGCATGCAGCTTTTGGGGAAAGCCAGATTTTTGAATAAGCAACATCGACCGGAAATCTGCCCTGGGCAGTTTCCTACATAATGGTGTATAGTTCTATTGGGTCCTTCTAGTTCTTTAACTTGGAAAACAATGTTGTGAGAAAAGCAAAATTGCGGGGGTGGGGGGGTGGGGGGGGTTTAAGGCTGTGATCCTATGCATTCATAGTGAATACCTTCTAAGCATTCATACATACACTGGGTTGGACTGTAAGGCTGTATTTCTGTGCACACTTTTCTGGGACTAGATCCTTGTGAACTCGATGGCGCTGCCTTCCAAGGAAACATGCAAGGCATTATTGTGCACGGCTATTTGTTATGAAGGTCAGGGGCCTGCCTATTTGAGGAACCGCCTTTCCCCCCGAGAGACGTCAAGTTGGCCACTACTAGAGCCAGGGCCTCCTCGGTGGCGGCTCCACGCTGGTGGAATGAGCTCCCAGATAACATCAGGGTCCTGCGGGGCCTCTGACAGTTCCGCAGGGCCTGCAAAACGGAGCTCTTCCACCAGGCCTTTGATTAGGAGCCGCCACCGGTGAGGGGGCCACTGGAGACAGCGCCACAGCGCCCTGGTAACACCTAGCCTCACGCACAACAAAGGAGCTGGCAGTGACTGTCCAAGATTTTGGGCAAAGGTCTTTCCCGGCCCACCTTAAAGGATCTCTTTCCCAGCTTTTCCTGCTAATCATTCCGGGAGAGTAGCCCTGTTGATTGGCTGCTGAAAAAATAAACGGGAGTCCAGTAAAACGCGGCAGCCAGGCTGCTGATGGGCCTCCCCAGGTGGGAGCACATCCAGCCTGTGCTGAAGTCGTTGCACTGGCTTCCAATAGCGTTCCGGATTCGCTTCAAGGTGCTGGTTTTGACTTTTAAAGCCCTAAATGGTCAGGGGCCTGCCTACCTGAGGGACCGCCTTTCCCCGTACGTTCCCCCGAGAGCACTGTGGTCTGGAACACAACACCGCCTGGCCCCTCCTGGGCCAGGGATGCCAGGCTGGCGGTAACTAGGGCCAGGGCGTTCTCCCTGGCGGCGCCAACGCTGTGGAACGAGCTCCCCAATGAGATTGGAGCTCTACGGGACCTCCAGCAGTTCCATAGAGCCGTGAAAACGGAGCTGTTTCGCCAGGCGTTCAAATAAGAACTGACTGCACCGGTTGGGTCGCGCTACCACTTTATTACAGGATGCCGCTGTATTTATTTACTCAGTTTTATTGTATTTATTGGAATTTTATGGAATTGTATTTTATATCTTGTATTTGCTAGTTTTAAATTGTATGTTGGTTTTATATTGAGCTGCGGTGGCTCAAGTGGTTAAGACGCTGAACTGCAGGCTGTGGAAGGTCAGTAGTTCAGCAGTTCGAGACCCGAGTGCGCCGCATGACGGAGTGAGCTCCCGTCTCTAGTTCCAGCTCCTGCCAACCTAGCAGTTCGAAAGCAAGAAATTGCAAGTAGATAAATAGGGACCACTTCGGTGGGAAGGTAACAGCGTTCCGTGCACCTTGGTGTTTAGTCATGCCGGCCACATGACCACGGAAACGTCTTCGGACAGCGCTGGCTCTTCGGCTTTGAAACGGAGATGAGCACCGCAACCCTAGAGTCGGACTCGACTGGCTTTCGAGCAAGGGAACCTTTACCTTTTACCTTTATATTGTCTGTAAGATGCCCTGAGCCGCTTCGGCGGGAGGGGGGGGTAGAAATTTAATAAATAAATAAATATAAATAAATAAATAGTGCAGGGATGGACTGGACATTAAGGTCAATGGGAAAAGTCCCGGTGGACTGGTGGGCTGGGAAAGCCACTCCCCACTGGGGCCACGACTGGCATTTTCCCCGGGAGCTGCCGCCACCAAGACAAGCAGGAGCAGCGAGGGTTAGGAAAAACCTGGAGATTTTGTGGGTGGAGCCTGAGGACGGCGGGGTTTGTGGAGGGGAGGGACTTCGGTGGGGTATGATGCCCCAGAGTCCACCTTCCAAAGCAGCCATCTTCTCCAGGGGAACTGCTCTCTGTTGCCTGTGGATCAGTTGGGATAGCGGGAGATTTAAACATGGGACTTACCGTATCCATCCTTAGCCAGTAGACCATGCTGCCTCTGTCTGGGACATTTTGATTTTACTAACTGGTGGCTGCTGCTTTTCCTCCCCCCCCAGAAAAGTACATGGAGTTTGACCTGAATAACCACGGTGAAATTGGTGAGTGGCTTGCTGCGGAACGTTCTACCGTCCTTCCCGTGCGAGAGTGCCATCCAATGTGCATGCAGTGCAACCTGGCTACGTTGGCAGGCTGCATGCTACCGGGGCTGCATGGACACGCTCAGGGGTCATTTCGTAGAAAAAGGACTAGGGGAACTCATTAGCATAACTTATTAGCATATGCCACACCCCCTGACATCAGGGGCCCAGCGGTGGACCTGCAAGGCCAGCGGGAGTGCGAGGAAGCCCCGCCAAGGCCCTCCCTGGCCCCAGGCTGGCAGGGGTGGGGAGAGGTGGGGAGGAAGCAACTTACCCTCCCTCTTCTCCTGCCTCCTCCTGGCTGAATGAGGGCTGGAAGCGGGGCGGCCGGAAGCAGGGGGCGGGGCTTCGTCATGGGCCCCACCCCCCTGCACCTCACCCGGGGGAACTGCGTTCCCCCGCGTTCCCCCCCGAAATGACCTCTGGACACACTGGAAACAAAATATTGCCATTCTGCACTACAAAAGACTAAATTCTGCAACCTATATAAATTCTGCAATTTATACAGCACATTTACTGTTTCCCCTGATTTTGCAGAATTTATCTGCATCGTTTTGTTCTGCAGTTACAGGAGCACTTAAGCAAACAGAAATCTCGTCCAGGCAATCAACTCGAGTCTGAGAATCTAGCAGGCATTTCGAGGCTCCAGCATAGTTTCAAGTAGATCTTTGCCTCTACGAGTGCTAGAAAATTCAGTTTCTTGGGGACCTGTATTTTGCGGATGAGTTTTCTGCAGAACTGGGACATCTCCGAGTCTCTTGGGATCATGATACTTTTGCTAATTTGGAACCGAGATCACAGAGGAGATAGCTGATGCATATTCTTTGTGATTTTACATTTATTTTAAAAACTTATTTTAAAAAATCCAGTTTAAGCTTCCCATGTCAAGATATCTGAAATCATGCCTCTGTTTTGAAATCTCTGCTGCCCGATCTCCGATCCGATCAGGAAGGGGTGCACCCCGCTTCATTTTCAATAAAGATTGTCATTCTGTAGAATCACTAACACTGTTCAGGTCACAGTGAATGCATGTACATTTTGCATCTACACTGCGTACATTGTAAGAAAGAGCTAATGCACATTCAGTTTACAAATGAAACTGGGGACCAATACCTGTATAAATGTGGGATTTCAGTCGCACGTTCAGGTGTACATGCATTGGACATTACACAAGAATGACTTAATCGGGTCATTTTGTAGAAAAAGAGGTGCAGGAGCTCATTAGCATAACTCATTAGCATAACTCATTTGCATATGCCACACCCCCTAACATTACCGGAAGTGTGTCAGAAGGCACCACTGGACTGTTTTGGATTGCTAGCTATTGGGGGGGGGGGAACGTGCAGATCTGTCCTCGCAGAGGAGGGAGAGCTTGTACCTGAATAAAACTTGGTCTTAAAGGTGCCACTGGACTGTTTTGGATGGGGGGAGGTGGGGGGTGGCTCTGCAATTTACCTGGCTGCTTCTTGCTCTAAGGGCTGCTGGGAGCAGGGGGTAGGGCTTGTTGCACGTGCCCGCCCCCTGGGCTCTTTACTGCCGGAGCTCCACTCCTGTGCGCTCCTGCAGGAAATGACCCCTAGACTTAGTGAACATATTAGGCAAAATTAAGTGTAAACTGTACATGGATTGTACATGCATTCACTATAACTTGTTAAGGGAGGAAGTGGGAAGTGAGTTTTCCCTGCTGGGAAACTCCCTTGCACCAAGAGCAGGGCTTGTAACGTGTCCGGAAGTAGAAAAAATAATTGCAGGAGATGGGAAGCTGTTCTTCCCCCCACGCCCCTGACATGACCCCTTTGTGTTTGTGTCGTCTCCCCCCATTACACACACGGCTCCCCACAAAAGAGTAACGCCTCTGGCCACTGTGTGATACAGAGTGTTGGACTGGATGGGCCTTTGGTCTGATCCAACATTGGCATCTCTTATGTTCTTATGTTCTTATGCCTCACTCTGGCTACCTGCAGATCTCATGTCTGTGAAAAGGATGATGGAGAAACTGGGAGCCCCAAAGACCCACCTGGAGCTCAAGAGGATGATTTCCGAAGTGACCGGAGGGGTCAGCGAGACCATCTCTTACCAGGACTTTGTCAACGTGATGCTCAGGAAACGGTCAGCTGTTCTCAAGCTGTGAGTATCCCGAGTGGGTGTTGGATTCTCTGGACTTGGTACTGCCAGGGAGCCACCACAAGTAGCAGAGGGCTTAAGGCTTGAACGCAGCAGAGCTGGGGCTGGGTGTGGCGACAGAAGGCACATGGAGTCAGCAATCAGTTCTAAAACTAATAAGCAACTTTCATTAAAGGAAATACGTGCTGAAGAGTGCAGGGAAGAGACAGCTATAGATCACCTATTCTAACTAACTAGATCAGTGATGGAGAACCTTTTGGAGACCGAGTGCCCAAACTGCGACCCAAAACCCACTTTTTTATCGCAAAGTGCCTACATGGCAATTTAACCTGACTACTGAGGTTTTAGGAGCTGCGGTGGCTCAAGTGGTTAAGACGCTGAACTGCAGGCTGTGGAAGGTCAGTAGTTCAGCGGTTCAAGACCCGGGTGCCACAAGACAGGGTGAGCTCCTGTCTCTAGTTCCAGCTCCTGCCAACCTAGCAGTTCGAAAGCAAGAAATTGCAAGTAGATAAATAGGTACCACTTCGGTGGGAAGGGAACAGCGTTCCGTGCACCTTGGTGTTTAGTCATGCCGACCACATGACCACGGAAACATCTTCGGACAGCGCTGGCTCTTTGGCTTTGAAACGGAGATGAGCACCGCAACCCTAGAGTCGGATTCGACTGGCTTTCGAGCAAGGGAGACCTTTACTTTACCTTACTGAGGTTTTACTTTAGAAAAAACAACTCATACATTAACTTAAGATGGTCCAAACAAAGTAAGGAAAGCAACCCCAAATGCTTTCATTTACTTAAAATTATTTGGCAGAGAATTCGACACTTTGATGATGGTCTGGGCCTGGCTGGGGCGATGGCACGCGTGCCCACAGAGAGGGCGCTGAGTGCCACCTCTGGCACCCGTGCCATAGGTTCACCACCACTGAACTAGATGGTGTTGGATGATGGACACACGTGTCCAGCCTCCATGGTGTAAGATGGAGAGGTCATGCACCTTTTTTTGCGTGTGGGTGTGAGAGAGAAGTTTGAGCGAGTGGAAGCAGAGGAAATTGCCCTTAAGAGTAGCATCCTACTTCAAAGGAAAGGATCAAATAACAGGAAGGAAAGGATGCTCCATGTGAGGCAGGAGACGGCACAAAGTCCTCCACTTCTAACAACGGGAAGGAAGGGAAAGCAGCCTGAGGACCAAGCTGTGTGGCTGCCTTGGGTGCCTCCCCTATTGTTGCCAACCTCCAAGTGGTGCCTGGAGACACCCCAGAATTGCAACGGATCTCCAGGCTACAGAGACCAGTTCCCTAGTGGAAATAGCTGAGTTGGAGGGCGGACTCTGTTGCATTAGACCCCACTAAGATCTCTTCCCAGGCTACACCCCTCAAAATCTCCAGGAATTTCCCAACCCAGAGATGGCAACCCTGGCCTCCCCACCTCATTTAAGCCAGGCTCAAACCTTCTGCAGTTGTCCAGAGTAGGGGGTGTTGAGCATATAGCATGGGGACTGCGTCTTTTGGGGGAAATAAAACCTATTCCTGGACGCTGATCTAACTCTTGTTGTGCTAAAGACAAATACGTTAATGTTTGCACCTGAAGGTGCAGTACAAGAACTCGTGGGCACTCTATGAAGCTGCTGAGCGGTCGGGTTAGAACGGATAAAAGGAAGTACTTCTTCACCCAAAGAGTGATTCACACATGGAATTCACTGCCACAGGAGGTGGTGGCAGCTACAAGCATGGACGGCTTCAAAAGGGAATTAGATAAGCATATGGAGCAGAGGTCCATCAGTGGCTATTAGCCAAAAGGTATAGATAGGGGCTCCGGGGCAAGTGGTGCTCTGTCTTCTTGGTGCTTTTGGGGGGGGGGGTCAACAGTGGGAGGGCTTCTAATGTCCTGGCCCCACTGGTGGACCTCCTGATGGCACTGGTATTTCTGGCCACTGTGTGATACAGAGTGTTGGACTGGATGTACCTTTGGCCTGATCCAACATTGGCGTCTCTTAGGTTCTTATGTTCTTAAGGTGGAATTCTGCCTTTGACCTTTTTCTCTCTTTTTTAAAGCAAGCTGACTGCCCCTTTCAGAACTATTTTGTTACGCTACCCACTTTGCGTCAGGGACCGTTCACAAATTACAGTCAGAGGAGATCAGAGGGGAGCAGAATCAAGACAGAGGAGACCAGAGGGGAGCAGACTCTAATCTGGGAGAGCCGGATTTGATTCCCCACTCCCCCACATGCAGCCAGCTGGGTGACCTTGGGTCAGTTACAAGTTATTTCAGAGCTATTCTCTCAGGAGCAGTCCTCGAAAGATCTTTCTCAGCCCCACCTGCCTCACAGGGTGCCTGTTGTGGGGAGGAGAAGGGAAAGGAGATTGTAAACTCTCTGAGACTCCTTCAGGTAGTGAAGGGTGGGGTATAAATCCAACTTCTTCTTGTGTTATCTCCCTCTGTACCTAGAATCCTCCTGGGATCAAGAAGTTGCCCCTCTGCTCCAGATCTTAGATTCTCCCCCACCCCGGTAGACCCTGAGAACTCTTACTAAAGAGGATAATCCTACCCAATGGCCATTAGCCATAATACCTACACAAAACCTCCATATACAGAAGCAGTATATCTCAAAATACCAGACAGAGGAGGGGCAAGGGGGCCCCATCTGGGGCTCTGGATTAGAGGGATCCCTGGTCTAATCCAGCAGAGCACGAGTCCTTCTGTTACGCTGCTTCCCAAGTTGCCACTGTGCCAAGGAAAGGTGCCAAGCCGGTTCCCGGCCCCATCGTGAATAGCTTTTGCTAGACACAGGTCCCTTTGACAGACGAACAAGCTGCTCATTGTCTTTCGGACCATGTTTCAGTTTCCGCTCCTGTCCTAAATGATTCTTTGGACGCGTACAATAGACACTGGATTTTGAGGTAACCATCGAAACGCTTGTGGCTGAATGCGTGTGACTTGGTTGGGCGTCCCAAAGTCTTCTGGGATTGTTTCCTCCATGCAGAGAGCCTCCCCTTCTTACAGCCGTCCATCCTTCACGGGTGCGGGGGGGGGGGGGTGACATGCTGAGCGGACATCCGTTCTCCAGAATGCCGTCAAGGGGAGGGGAGGGGACCATGGGACTTGGGATGGGGGGGGTGAGTTGGGTCACCACAGCCAGTGGCTGGCCATGATATCCTTGCGAACGCTTTCCCATCAAAAGAAAATGCTTTTTATGGCAGAAATGGACAAACTGACACGGAAACTTAATGATAAAGAAGATGAGGACTTTTTTTTACAGAATGGATAGACTTTAAAGAATACGTGGAGACTAATTGGGAATGTTAAAAATAACTTACTTTGCTTTGATAGTTATTAACAACAGAATACGAAAAAGAAACTGACTGAATAGATAGCTATAATGTTATTAACAACAGCTATAATGTTATTAACAACAGAATACGAAAAAGAAACTGACTGAATAGATAGCTATAATGTTATTAACAACAGCTATAATGTTATTAACAACAGAATACGAAAAAGAAACTGACTGAATAGATAGCTATAATGTTACCTGAAAAATTGATAGTGAATATGAATATGTAGTAATTGAAGAATTGGAAAAAAAAGATGTTTTAATGCAATCTAAGAATTGAGTAGTAAAAGGGCCAAGGAGGGGGTGTGAGCATTGCGGGAGGCCAAGAGAAGGGGGGGGGGAGATATGAGAAAAGGATATATGTTGAAAGAAAAGTTCTAATATTGAACATGTTGCTATATCCGAATAATAAAAAGTTTGTTATAAAAAAAAAAGAAGTGCTCCCAAAGTTGTGCAGAGCAAAGCCTATCCTGTAAGCTCCTTATAACGACATCGCAAAAAGGAAATGGAGGATAAGAGTGTCAATTATTTTGTTTTTTACTCGTTATATAGCTTACTGATCCCCACCCACCCACACCCGCCAGCTCATGGTGGCTCACTTTACATACACAAATGGAATGGATCCTCTGCCATTCTGGAATGAGGAATTCTGGGTATTAGGCAAGTGCCGGAGAGGGCTACAAGGACAAGGTTTGGAAGACCGAGTGGCAGAATCATTGAAGGGAGCATTTATGTATCATTAAATTTGTGTTCCACCTTTCCTCCAAGGTGCTCAGAACAGTACACAAAGGTGGGGGGGTTCCCCTCATTTAATCCTTACAACCACCCTGTGAGGTAGGCTAGGCTGAGACAGACTGACCAGCCTATGTGAATTTCATGGCTGAATGGGGGTTTGAACTTGGCCTCTTGCCATACCTAGTCGTTGTGCTTCGCTGGCTCTCTAAACGAATTAACGTCCACATTGCAGACTTTAAAATCCCCCAAATGAGAGAAGGATTGCCTGTAGCTTTAAGAAATGGATGCCCTCTGAGACCTCAATGGCCATTGTGGGGTTGCTAGGGAGCCACAACAACTTTGCCGGCCTTCAAACTTTGATTTCTGTCAGGAAAAGATAGAGGGGAAGGCCTTTTCCTGGGTATTTTTGCCTCCCAGTCCACCCTGCTCCCCTCTCTCCTACCTTTGAGGGAGGACTCATCAGGGCCGGGCCAAGCAGCAACAGGCAACTGATTACCGTGCGGTTTGCACAGCTCACCCAGGAGCAGTGATGGCCACCAATCCAGATGGAGTGATGTCACACACAACTTGCCTGGGCCCAGGGGCAGCCTGAGCATGACCGGAGTGACTTGGCTGCAAATTTCCATTTGCCATGCCCCAAAACAAAACAGAAATGAATCCAGAGCCCCCTAATTTACCAGGGGTCTCTTTCAGCACTTCCAGTTTGCAGTTGCCTCTTGGTAATCTCTTGGCCACATTAAAAAAAAAATAGTTAAGGGATTGCAATTCTAGATAACACGAACGCTTGCCTTCCATGGTAACTATTCACCCCACTTGCTTACGAAGCTGTTATTAACAAGAAATAATAATGATCCCTTTGTGTGTGTGTGCGAGAGAGAGAGAGAGAGAGAGAGAGCGCACCTGGAAGTCATGGCGACCTCTGTTCACTGACCCCTACGGGGGGCCTGGAGGATATTCAGAGAGGTGGCTGAATATTTATTTATTGATTTATTTCATTAGACTTTATATCCCGCTCAAACCCCCTTCCAGGGGTCTCTGAGCGGCTTACAGGTCGGTGCTAATCACCATTTATTTCCCTAACTAGGGCCACATATGTAGGGGTGGGACTACCTACCAGCACCCCTATAGTGGTGGTTGGAGTTGTTTCTCGGCTCGGGTCTCCAGGTCTTCTTCCGTGTTGTTATTATTATTGGTAGTCTCTGGCGGGGGGTCGGCTCGGCACTCAGATGGCAGATCTCATTTTTCCCTGAGGCGCGCGACTCACGCCTTTCTCCGGCCCAGCAACGTCCTTACGGCTCCGCTGCGCCGGCATTTGCTGCGCCTGCCCCCGCCTCCTGCCTCTGGTATTCCAAGGAGGTCTCCCATCCAAGTACTTGCCAGAGTCGACCCTGCTTAGCTTCCAAGATCTGACAAAATCGGGCTTGCCTGGGCTGTCCAGGTCAGGGCTAATAATGATGATCCTTGATGATGAAAAAAATAGGAATATTATGTCGGGGATTAATCTGTACTCTTCTGTCATTTGTCTTTCAGAGTGATGATGTTTGAAGGGAAAGCCAGTGAAAGCATCCCAAAGCCTTCGGGTCCCCCTCCAGAGAGAGATATTGCCAGTCTCCCTTGAAAAGCCAAACTGGTCCGTTTCCCACAATTCCCTTGGGCTGTACCCAGGGCTCCCTGCTTTCTTGCTTTTATGTCGGACAGTCTTAGAAAGCCATCATTAACCTGCCTTAGCAAAAAGGAATGACAAGGGAAGTTCCAGGGACCTTCCCCAGAAGAGTCCCTATGTAGCCATTTTTTTACAAACTGCATCTGAATAGCCCGCTCTGTCTCTCCCGGAGATGGGTCAGTAGCGAAGAACAAAAATGTGAAACCAAAACCCAAATCCCACGAGGTACTTTTCTGAAGAGAGATGTCATGGACCAAAACCCAAATCCCACGAGGTACTTTTCTGAAGAGAGATGTCATGGACGGTTTCCCGAGGCACTATGGAACGGGGGGTGGGGGGGGGGGGACAACTAAAAGGCAAAATCTCCAGCTGCTGAAAATTGTCCAGCCAAATCAAACGTTCTTCAAGTGGCCTTGTCTCCAAGTGAAGGCCTCACCTGCCGCCATTTTGAATGCTGTCGCAACCTTGTTCAGCCGTGCCAGTCACTCCTAGAAACCCCTAGCGTCTGAATGCCTTTCCCCATCATTCTTCTGTCTGACCGCTTTCCCACTGCTTCTCTGCCCCCCACAAGGATCCTCCAGCTCATCGCAGGTACAGTCTCTTTTTACCTCCACTATCAATCCTCTTGGATGAAATTATTTATGTGCTAGAATGGATTCATCGTCCCTGATGGTCCTCCCAAATGCCCACCTGCTTGCGCTTCTCAGCACATGAGGTACAACAGAGAAAACCTTAGAGGCACTCAACTCCCATGGATTTAAGGATGATTTTGCCGTATTGAATTGTCTCTAGATTTGTGTCTGCGAACAGCAGGCGAAGTATGCTGGTCACTGGAATTCTCAGAGGGTCGCCCTGTTGGTCTGCCGTAGAGCAGCCAGATATGAGTCCACTAGCCCCGTAGAGACCAACACGATTTTGGTGGTATCAGCTTTCAAGAGTCAAACGCCCTTCGTCAGATACCGGAAGATCCACAGGACATAAATTTATTTGGCGTGCTGCTGGTCACCACCTGCCTTTGCAAGAGGACCGGTTTGCAGTGAAGGCCAAGGGTGTGGTCAGACGGCGTGCTGGGAGCGGGTTAAACTGCTCCGGCTCCATGCGTTGTTTTTTTTAACCTGGAGAATCGCGATCCCACTCACCTCCTTGCTCCGGATCGCTGCGCAGCCACATTGCTCCCCTCCATCCACACGCGTCGTTGTCGTTTTTCTCTCTCTCTCAGTTTGGACATGCGCACAGGCAGCCATCTGTAGAGCAGCGATTTCCTCTTCAACCCGACTGCTGTAACACTTCCCTTTAAATGTTTCCCGCCGAAAATGGCCTCCCTGAGATCCCGAACTCATCTAAAGGCTAAAACTAGGCACCATTTAAACATTGTTTTTAATAACCCTGTGGCGGACTTCCGCCTATGCGCACACCACCAACGCTTTTTTTAAAATGGCGGGCGAAAAGCAGAAGCCTCGGGCAGCTTTCGAGCAGGGAGGGGGTTTAAATTGGAAGTGACTGGACACCACAGGAGCGATCGCACAGGGGAAAAATGCGGCTGGAACCGGAGAATCAGGAAAACACCACTTGGGGACCTGGTATCAAAATACTCCAGGTTAAAGCAGTCTTGAGCCGGAAAGCGACGGCTGGGGACAGGAGGCAGATGTTGACCGTGTGATCGTGCAGATAAAATCCGTTTCTGAGGCAGGCCGAAAGCGGACTAAACGGCCCGTCTGAACGCACCCCATGTGTTCTCTGTGGTCCGCAGAAAACCAAAAGCAGCGATATGGGGACCAGCCAACCCAGCCACTGAATTCCAATCTCAACATCCAAGGCCAAATCTAGACGGGAGCAACACTCAGTACATTTGGAGGTGTCTTGGTTGTAGGAGGGTTTGCATGAATCATGTATTGATATGATGGCAGTTCCTGATTGGCATTGACATGATCCAGTTCCCTGGTGGCAGTTCCACTCTGCATGTTGGTGGCATGAAGAGTGGATTCCCTCCGTCGTCTTCCCTCCCAGTCAAGAACCCACAGGGTGATGGTGTGGTGGACAGATCTAAATGTGGCGTCTACTTCACTGCCTCATTCTCCCGAATTTTTTTTTTTTGGGGGGGGGGGGGAGCTGAATACCTGACTGTAGTGAGCTTGCTAGTCTTTTGTTGAGCCTTCAATAAAACGGGGGGACGACGACTTCCTATACCGAAGGAGATGCATTCCCAGAGCCTGGACTCCCTCTTTTCTTGAGAGCCAGTTTGGTGTAGTGGTTAGGAGCATGGACTGTAATTGGGGAGAACCAGGTTTGATTCCCCTACTCCTCCACATGCAGTATGCAGCTGGTGGCGTGACCTTGGGTCAGTCACAGTTCTCTCAGAGCTGTTCTCTCAAGAGCAGTCCCCAAAAGAGCTCCCTCAGCCCCACCTGCCTCACAGGGTGTCTGTTGTGGGGAGGGGAAGGGAAAGGAGATTGTAAGCAGCTCTGAGACTCCTTCAGGGCGGGAGTATAAATCCAATCTCTTCTTCTCCTTCTTTTTGAACTGCCAGATCTAATTCCTATCACTCCCGTTTAGCAAAGTCAAGCCTCTTCTGCCTAAGGAACTTCTTATAAACTGATCTTAAGGAAATTAAACGACTGATGGATGTTCCTTTCTTATGGTGGCAGATCTTCCGAGTATAGTATACTAGCTCTTTCCTAGCAGCTCTACACTCCTGATCAAACCGCCCTCTGCTAAGAGGAGTCATACTATTAGGGGGTCTGTTATTAGAGCTGCGGTGGCTCAAGTAGTTAAGACGCTGAACTGCAGGCTGTGGAAGGTCCGTAGTTCAGCAGTTCGAGACCCGGGTGCCGCATGATGGAGTGAGCTCCCATCTCTAGTTCCAGCTCCTGCCAACCTAGCAGTTCGAAAGCAAGAAATTGCAAGTAGATAAATAGGGACCACTTCGGTGGGAAGGGAACAGCGTTCCGTGCACCTTGGTGTTTAGTCATGCTGGCCACATGACCACGGAAACGTCTTCGGACAGCGCTGGCTCTTCGGCTTGGAAACGGAGATGAGCACCGCAACCCTAGAGTCGGATTCGACTGGCTTTCGAGCAAGGGAACCTTTACCTTTACCTTTTATTAGAGAGCAGCGGTTTGAGGAGCCGAGTGATGGCTTCAAAGCCCTTGATGGCATCAGAGTCATCCTGCATTCGTTCTTGATGCAGAGACCAAAGGTCGTCCTTCGCCAGAGATTGAGCTAAGCTGGAGTGTAACTGTGGGGACCACTTGATTCTCCTTACACGGAGCTGGGATCCCTCAACGGGATCCTGGGTAGGGCTAAGCAAAACGTTGCCCCCGAACTGAAGCAGAAGCTGTAAAGGGCAGTGGTCACTCTCAGTTCTGTTGCCTACCTCAAAACAGAGGGTCTGGAATAAGACTGAGGGCGACACTGCCATGTAATCGATTCTGCTGGCCCCTTGTGTAGATAAGAATGCAAGGCTGCGGTCACACACACTAACTAATCCACGTTCAGTGCACTGTCCAACTGGATTTTACTGTGTGAACTGACAAAATCCAGTTGGGAAGTGCATTGGAAGTCGATCATTTAGTGTGTGTGACTGAGGGTTGCCAGGTCCCCTCGGGGGGCGGGGAAAGGCCCATTCCCTGCCAGCCCAGATTGGGCTGCCAGGGGGAACCTCGCCCCCCCCCCAAAGTCTGTAACGTGAAGACGCCACCCGGAGGTGAAATCATCAGAGGTCATTTCGGGGGGGATCGCGGGGGATCGCAGTTCCCCCGGGTGAGGTATGGGGGGCGGGGCACATGACGAAGCCCCTCCCCCTGCTTCCGGCCCTCATTCAGCCAGGAGGAGGCAGGAGAAGAGGGAGGGTAAGTTGCTTCCTCCCTGCCTCTCCCCACCCCTGCCTGCCTGGGGCCAGGGAGGGCCTTCGCGGGGCTTCCTTGCACTCCCGCCGGCCTTGCAGGTCCACCGCCGGGCCCCTCATGGGGCTCGGCAGTGGAGCTGCAAGGCCGGCGGTGGCGGCCGGGACCGTTGGGGGCGGGGGGTGTGGCCTTATGACACACTTCCGGTGATGTCAGGGGGTGTGGCCTTTATGACACACTTCCGGTGATGTCAGGGGGTGTGGCATATGCTAATGAGTTATGCTAATGAGTTCCCCTAGCTCTTTTTCTACGAAACGACCCCTGGAGATCATCACGTCGGGCATGTTACCGGGGGATGCTCTATCATTCGAGGGAAAACTCTATGGTTTTCCCTCGAATGATTGTGGCCCTGCCCCCAACGTGCCCGGCGCGATGACGTCACTTCTGGGTGGTGAGAAGGCTCCCGGCCAGGGACAGGGCTCCCCCCGCTATTAGGTAAGTTCGACTTGGCAACCCTAGTGTGACTGCAGCCTAGATGTGCCACTAGACACATCAAACCTTGTGCCGTGGAGAATGTGTAGCTGATGGAGTGACAGCAGTTCCAATAATCTTAAGCCTGGCTTATTTATAATTGTGACTAAAGCAGGCTTGTTCGGCAGCCTGGTTATTAATATGGGTCAAGAAACTGGAAAAGCCAGGTCGTGTTCTGGCATTGAAATCTTCACATAGCGGGAGGTGAGAATTCGGAAATCATAGAACCAGGGTGTCAAGAGTGGTGGACAATGATGACCAGTGTTCCCTCTAAGCTGAGTTAGCGTGAGCTAGCTCACAGTTTTTTAGCCTCCAGCTCAGACACTTTTTGTCTCAGCTCAGGAAGGAGGGCTCCAGAGCAAACGTATTCAGGTAGTCGCCATATCGCTGGCTCACAACTTTAATGGCAGTAGCTCACACAGTAGAATTTTTGCTCACAAGGCTCCGCGGCTTGGTGGGAACCTTGATGATGACCCCAAATGTTTCCCATGCTCTGGGGTTTAGGTGAGATATAGTTCAGGTGGGACATGGACGTAATATATTTCAGGCAGGATATAGACGTCAATACGAAGGAGAGAGCCGCCTTGGATGTAGTCCTGAGACCCGCTTTCCGAGGCGTGTATGCCAGCATTAAGATCGACAGATATGAACACTACCAGACCCTTCCCCCCCCCCGTCCCCCATCCCTTGACACGAGTTTTAACAGCTGGGACCACAAAGGTATGGTAACCCTGAAGAGCAGGAGGATTAGACACCTGGGACCAGTGTTCCCTCTAAGCTGAGCTAGTGTGAGCGAGCTCACAGTTTTTTAGCCTCCGGCTCACAGATTTTTGTCTCGACTCAGGAAGCGTAGCTCCAGAGCAAACTAATTTATGCAGCAGCCAAATAGCTCACTCACAACTTAAGAACATAAGAACATAAGAGACGCCAATGTTGGATCAGGCCAAAGGCCCATCCAGTCCAA